ACATTAGCGCATAGGACTAAACCTTTAATAGCTAGTAGCAACATACCTCTCAACGTCACATATCAGTGGAGGCTTTTTCTATGTGATCGGTAAACACTACTTGAAAATTGCAACTTCGAACAGCCTGGAGAATCCAATAACCATGTCCTCAAAGCATGCTCGAAAGTCCTCACTATTAGGAATACCAGAACCCGATACCTAGGAACCACCCTAAGTAGGGTAACCCCACTCGGAATCGGAATCTCTGGTCTCCAACACCCCCCTCCGGCTCCCTTATGGGGCCCGCACATCATCATATATATCAATCTCAGTTGCGTCCTATGTCTATATTTCCACAGAATTGAAGGTGTTAGAATAATACCATATACATCATCACCGTCCGTCCGACCAGATCCTGTTCGCAGGAGATATGAGAGGGGACCTTCGGCTAGGTCTGAGAAGTGGAACGGAGTAATTCTGTCAACTACTCAGAGACTTACTTGGCTTTAAATACATGACACCTTGGGCATGGGCTGTAAGTAACAGGACGGTTTCGCACAAAGAGATGGTATCAAATGGTAAAGGATCTCTACTAGAGACCAATACATTTACATCCACCAGAAGAGTCTAGAACTCCAAAAGGCACTACCAAAGAAGCCAACAAACTTCACAGAGTGTTGCAACTAGGTTTTGGAACATGTCGTAGCCATGGGGTGATTCTCAATACAACAATGGTTACTGAAACCTACTACCCAGAGAGTAACCAAGAGTTGCCAACCAAGGGATTAATTCGCAATCTGGTGGAATAGCTTCCTGTGAGTTAATAGGAAGTCTTCCAGAGAAAATCTATCGGTTGGGTATGGAGTTACAAAGGATCGGAGTTAGATGACCTACGATGGTTGTAATGACGACCACCTTTGCAGATATAGCCACAGATAAAACTGATCATTTTATCAATGGCGAAGACAATTGGAGCCAACTCAGTTCAACTTAAGAACTAGGCCATAAGTCTAAAGACTCTACTAATCAGGATATTACTATTGGGGATAGTATGTTTTCTAAGAAAAAATATCGTAATTGCCGAACAGGGTATGATGGTTTTCAGGGTCCACAGGTGTTTGCACCTTGGAAGAAAACTCGATGTTGTGAATTACGATTGAAGAAGTACATATTTGTATAATAAACAAATGTAGTCCGCAAACACTCAGATGCAGAATATGAATATCGAAGTGCCTCCTAAGCTTTAGACATCATCAAGCAATGGAGAAGAGACCTTAACAATATAATATTGTTTTTACAATTCTACCCTACTTTACCTATTTTACTTCGCTCCTAGTAGTCATAAATGAAACAAGTAAAGTCTGAGCCTTCCTAGACAATCTCCGTCTACAGAATCAAATCTCGATTGGCCTAGACAACCTTGAAGTCTATCAAATTGTCTCCAGCTAACACTCACAATCCAATTGTCAACAACAATCACAACGAACGAAGCCCGAACAGGATTTCCCAAACTCTAGTCCTTCAAATGCACATGCTTTTATTGCTCCTCCAGAAACCTTCCAGCCGTTAGAGTTCATTGAAAGCGAGCCAGAATTACTTGTCCCAGAGGATATTGACCTAACTCCAATTGGATTTTTTAAATTGTGTTGAAATCGTCACATTCTGAGTCAAGTAGTAGGTGGGACAAATGCTTATGCGAATCAAAAGAGACAAGGGAAAAGAGGATCTGGATGGTCACACCCAGTGACCAGTATCGAGTTATGCAAGTTTCTTGGTCTGACGATTATGATGGGTATTGTACGTTTATCCAGTAGAAGTCAATATTGGAAATGAGGTGTTTTGCAGGAAAGACTTGCTTTGAGCTTTCATCAGTATAGCCAAATTAAATGCTATATCCATATATCGATGCCTGATCTACCACATGGTATCTTGCATACCAATTCTGACCTACCATGATGGAGAAAGCTCAAACCACTTCATAGTCATTTGAGGGCAAAAAGTCAGGAATATTTCCAACCTGGAACGCATCTCTCTATTGATGAGATGATGGTTCAATTTGCAGGACATAGTCAACATACGGTACGAATTCCCAGCAAGCCAATTCCAGTTGGCTATAAAGTTATAGTGGTATACTATAAGGGGTAAGTTTCCAAGACTACTTAGTAAATTTAACCTTATAATCTTTAATCTTGGATTCTAATATGAGAGTACCTTTAGATATACAATTGATTGGATACTTTTTTCTCGCAAAAAGTCATTTGCAGAGCTAATTGGACAGCCGGATCTATCACCTATGAGCTCTGCAATTATTCTGCTTTGCAGAAGTCTTCCAGTAACTCCTTCGAATGCTCCCATACCACATACCAGCCACCATATCATCTATATGAATAATGGTTTTGCTACCATCCCTCTTTTCGAAAAGCTCCAAGAGCTTGGTATCGGGGCATGTGGTACAACATGCATTAACGGGCCCAAATATCCTCCAGCTGTAACGATCCCCTTTCAGATAGTTAGTTCTTGGCGATGGGGAACGATACTTATCTTTTCTTTCTCTTTCTTTCTTTGTCTTATGATAGCTCTAGGCCTCTGCCTATGTTACCGATAGCACAAGACCTTTGTCTTCTATCGGAAACACCTATCGTAAGCTTTCTCTAACTCGTCTTCGTGACGAGTACTTCTTGGCGTAAGGATAACATTGCAATAAGGATAAAGATCGTAAAGGTGTTTTATATTCGTTAAAGTAATAAGTAGGAAATGTAATTAGAACAAAGCGTGAAGAACCTATCTTCCTTGGCCGCATCAGCCTCCTTATATAGTGTTCTTCCCGCCTTTAATCATGTGACCTAAAGTGGTCACATGTGCGAAACCAAATCATAACACACTAGTCATGTGACCAAAGTGATCACATGCTCAAAGCCCATGACCTTATAGTGAGGTCATGTGCAAAACTCATAAACCAATCATAACGCAATAAACAAGTCATATGACTCGACTGAGTCATATGCGCGAAACCCATGATCTCATAATGAGGTCATGTGCAAAACATAAATCATATGTGCAAGTCTTACCCGCAAGGCACACTCACAAGGCATACTCGTCAGGTGCATGTCCCATGACTCATATTTGAGCCATGTGCGAAAGCATCACAAATCCCACACATAACAAATCATATAACCTGAATGAGTTATTTGCGCAAAACAATAACATACCTGTGACTCATAACCATGTGTCATGTGAAAACCTTTTCCCTGCCAAGCCACATTCGTGATACCAGCTTTAAAGTCCAATAATGAGCTTGTTGATTGGAATACAATGGATGGGTGTGTTGTTCGTAGTACAATATCACAACCAGGTGTTTTATGCCTTCATTGGATGGACAACAATATTGTTCGAATGCTATCTACTGTTCATCCATAAAATGAGCTTCTATGGACAATATGCTGGAAATCTCGTTCTACTAGCTCCAATGTAACAATGGTCCGAAGAGCATTTAGTGAAAATGAAAGGAGGTCTAGCTATATTCCTACGATCATTGATGACTATAATCATCATATGAATTGTGTGGATCTTGCTAATCAACACCGTGCATCATATACTACCCATCAGAGAGCGAGGCAAAATTGGTTATCATTTCGGTTTTTTTTTATTGATACATCCATCATGAACGCATGTCTTATTTCAGATGGCATGAAATCAGAAGCTTAATCAGCTACTTGATTCCCATCAGCTGCAAGCATCTGATTTGCTTTTGCATCCTCTTGCCCAAGCCTATTCTGCAGAGTTGTTTCATCAAACTCTATTTCGACAGCTTTCCAATTGCCATAATTCCAACTCCAACACCAATTCTCACCAATCTAATCACTCATGCCAACACTCTAAATCCCGTACCCCAGCAAGAACACCCACTCAGCCACGGTTTACTCAGTATTACAGATTAAAAACCTCCTTCATGTTATTTACCAAATACAGCAAACTCCGTCAACCCTGGGCATCAGTACAGACTACAAACCACAATAGTAGTAGCTCACAAACTACTCCCGTGATAGCTACAACCAGTACTCAGTTACCAGATCATACCCTGATTCAAATTGCTGGTCACAAGCAAAGGGAGTGTGCTATCTGTTAATATAATTTCAGGTTGGGTAAAACACAAGGACGTCGTCAGCCAAAACTTACTCAATTTCAGTGTTCAACATGTGAGCCTCCAATCGCACTTTGTGGTACTAATAAGAACAGTCCAAGTCCATGCTTTCTTCAATGGCATAGATTTGTCAATCAGGCTCAAGGCGCAGAGTAGGAAAGTTGAAATTTGATAAAGCTGTCTAATAGTTATGCTTGTCGTCAGTGGCAAATATTCAATTTTAAAAATCATGTGCATACTAGCCATACTTAACCTAGTTGTAAGCACTAATGCATGAGAGAACTTTTACCAGACCCCCTCAACCGTCCAGGGGATAGGAATAGAGAGGGTGGATGGGCTATCGGGCTTTAAAATAGTTGGAAAAACCTAATCCTGGCCCTGCTAACAGCACTAGCGGCTTGGCAATTGCCGAGAAACGGACACTCTTGGGGTGCCTGGGCCTCATGAAGTTACCAGTTCTTCTAGGAACAGATATATGGTATATGTTGGATTTTTCTCACGGATAGATATGTCAACCTTTTGTTTTAACTGAAGCTGAACTTGCTATTGTTAAGAATAAAGAGCCGCTAGCCTTTTCGAAAGATCCGACCTATGGCGCTCCGGCCAAACATTGTATTTTTACCGGTCCTGCTTCCTATCATTCCTTTCGGGGCGCAAAAGGTATTCGTGTTTTTATGATTAACTTTACCGCGGGGCTTACTTAGTCAACTGTCACTTTCAGTTCTGTCCCCAGACCGGCGGCGGGTATTTCGCGTTGGGTTCGTGATTTGTAAGCCGGGGCATATGCGGAACTTATACGAATGTTGATATTTTGGGGATGGATTCTCACGGCGCCTGGGCAATATTGACCACCCCCGTGTAGGATCCTGGAAGATGGTTATTGTGTACATGGAGAAATAGAGAATTAAATAGCAAGATAGCTCAACTGGCGGCTTTGGTGCATGTGCTTTGACTGAAAAATACACTCATCAATTCCACACCAACAACCCTATCCCTTCGCATAACACTCAAGACATCAAGAGACTCGGATAGACTTGGCTTATGGTTTCTGTATCCCATTGCTCTTGCGGCTCTTTTTCCGGCCCATCAGTATCTATCCTTGAAGACCCCTTTCTGGAACTGGGCTTGTTATTATCGATGTGCCTGTAAAAGTCAGTCACATCCTGGCGCGCGGGGAATCACATACTGAAAAACTCCCGAGATAATTCTGGAATTGTGCTCTATGGCGCCCCTGGTGGCGATACTGCGCCCTTGGGGTACTCTTAATTCAGTTTCCGGCAATGAGCGTAGATACCGGTTTACCTGAGAGAGGTATTTGATGGCCGTCTGACTTGATATAATCTCTTCAGGCATTGGGTCACCCTCTCCGGTCTCAATATCATTCAGGTTAATGCCATCGGGGCCGTGCTCGAGTACTCCGGCCGCAACAGCCTCATCGATAAGTCTAACCGCATCGGGAGCTGTTCCTTCGGAAGGGAGACTCTCGTCCAACTGCCAGAACTGGCGAAACGATTCCCCGTGTGTATGTGGCATGATCTGACGAACACAGCGTCCACACAACGACTCTTGAGTAAGGATATAACGTTCGGGCTTAAATTCCTCGCTGACTTCCTCGCGCATAAGGTCTTGGCATATTCCAGAGATCTGCCAACAACGAACGATTGTACGAGGGGGGATGGCTTGCCACGCGGAGGCAATCATGCCGATGCATTCAAGGTGGGTGAGCTTACTACGGCCTGCGCCCGTCAATGTACGATGGAGCGCCAGTGCCTGAACATACATCCGTCGGTAGGTTGCCTTGAAACAAGCTATAATACCCTGGTCTAAGGGCTGTAAGCTCATTGGAAGATTTGATGGGAGGAATATTAGAGTAATATTCGTCAACACCGGAGGCGGAGGTCCTTTGTAGAAGTGGGGGGGTTGTGTGGGGGGAGGGTAAGAGGGAGAAGTCTGGCATAAGAGGACAGCATGTCGCTTTTCCGCGCGTATTTCCATGTCGAAGGTACGGAGAAAGTCATACCATAATCCAGTATACCAGGGCCTCTGACTGTATCTATAGATTACTGGAAGGTTGGCTGGATTGACCTTTTCCTGGCTGAATGACAATGGAGTGGCAACTCTATTGACGACGAGCACCCGCCGTTTCTCTGATCCATCAGCATTCACACAGAGGAAAACGGTGACTCTCCTTCTATCGGGAACTGTTTCCGGGAGTCTGGTGAGCTCGAGCCTGAGGTCGCTACAATTGAAGCGGTCCCTTGGAGCAAACTTCTCCAACTGCATGGTCATGCCCATCTGGTGACCAGGAATCTCGGCTGGATCGACGAGGTCTTTGTTCTTTTTCTTGAGAACAACATTGTGCCTCTGTTTGAATCCTTGCAGCCAACCGGAGCTCATGTCAAAGCTCTCGTAATTTTCCTTGCATCCGGGCAGCTCGGTAAGGCGTTTCTGAATTATTTTCCCCTGCTCGCGGATGGCATCGTCGTTGATGTAAACGTGTTCGGCAGCGGCTGCATCGATCCAACTGACGAGAAAGTATTCAAACAGAGGAAACATGGCAGACCGGCCCTTAACCTTGTTCGCATCGGTCCCTACAAGAATGTCAATTAAACAGTCAAACAAGTTGATGTTCTTTGATAAAAAAAAAAAAATTCTGCCCGAGTAAGAATCGGGTGATGCTACACACCTTCGGGTGGTCCATGCTTCACCCTTTCCTCCCATCCCTTCAGGTGATCCGAGATACTGGAAATAGGCAAAGGCCTCCCGTCTGGTCTCCGAGGACAGGCGGGAAGCTCCGCGAACTCGCCAAGCTTCATGGTAGGATTTTGAGCTCTCAGCAAACATAGCTCCCATTTCTGAATGGGGGTGAGACCCTTTCTCCTTCCTGGGGCTGGAGGCATCTTTGAGTGATGAATTGAGTTCGGGAAGGGAAGAGGTGAAGAAGAGGCAGAGTATTGTTCGAGTCGGTTAGGGGAAGAGTTTGTTATGGCTTTGAACTTAGAGAACCCCCGCATTTGCTCGCTATACCGGATCCAATCGACCTAATGTCTTGGCAATCTTGTGGCAAAAAGGGGGCCCTCAGCCACATGGACTGCGTTGCCAAGATAGCTTTCGTCCTCAATAGTTTGCTGGGCCACACGGGACACGCACAAAGGCATTGTACAGTACTCTTCCTGCTCTGTCCAAATAGATAAATGGCATACCAGTGGCTGAGATTATGTGCACCGTGCATTAGATGCAATTCGGATAGTTTAGGGGTTCTGCCTCCGAAGAAAGCAGAATCGGATTCTTCAACTTGGTATGGTACCGGTTACTATACGTAGGATCCGACTGGCCTCAAGAAGTTGCTCACTACATCGGACGTGACTGCATGTCAAGATGTGTTCCCACGATACCGTGGGGGTATGTATATCGTTTACCTAAGTCTCTAGATAGACTAGACTAAACCTATCCTTCTAATTGTGGGTAGGGTTTCTGCCCTGAACAGTAGTGATGAGAGTGTATGGCGAGGTATCATTCGGTGCCCTCCGCGAAACCCCTCCGCCATGAGTCTCCTCGTATTGCGTATGATAAATGTCCTATTCAGCCTCATCTATATCGTGATGGGGCAGCTTTACCTCTCGAGGGCAGGAAGAGAATGTTTTTTTATTTCTTTCGCTGGCTGTCCGAAGTTATCCGTTACAGTATGATACCTAAAAAATGGGGTTGGGCTCTTTTAACCTTCTCTCCCAAGTATTGCCCCATGTGGAGCCCAGGCTAACCGTTCAGCAAAATGACCCAAACGCGAGTGACAATCCATGGAAAGCTCCACATTCCCATATTCCCTTGGCAATTGTGACACAGGCGCTTCGGGGGAGTCGGGAAAGTCTAATTGGCGGCTAAAGGTCGTCAGTATATAGACTACCGGTACCATGCATTAGACTAGAAAACACCAGGAAGTAGTATACTTCCGGAGCATGTGAAATGGAGGTTGAAAAACAAGTTTACCTGCCCGAGTTAGAATATATGCCGAAGAGGAAAACAGCGTACTCACCGACTCGCTAAATGAGCTGTGCCTTGGCAATGTTTAATCTTCTCAGTCAGGAGGATTTGGGGTTGGCCGTAGGTTAAATGAAGCTTGAGGCTGCTTGGCAGCACTAAAACTGATCTTCTCCTTCCTTTTCTGTTCAGTACTAAGTTTTCTTGGGAGCCTTCGTCCCGGAACGGATATACGAGCCCTGCGAAGAGATGCTCAATTTGACGAGTTAATGGGTAACCAATTGGCAGGAACCGCCTCACTTAGAAGTTTCTAGTTGAGTAGGGAGAAATACCGGCAAGCACTAGAGTTTCTTGCCAGGGAATATATGTCCCGCAGTTCCCCTCTGGCGGGGAATCAGGCAACATTAAGTTACTTATCCTATGTATTTTCTTTACCTCAGGTCCAATGGCCGTCAGATGCAAGATCTCAACAAATACTAGTTGGAATTTTCGCTCAGGCAAGATGGCCTTTTTTGACGAGGTCTTCCTCATTTAAGGATCTGAAAGGTTTTTTTTTTTTTTTTTAACTCATGTGTTTATTGATTGTGGCCCAAAACGTACATGCAGCTCGCGCTATGGCATAAGGATCTGGCGGGTTGATGTTCATCAATTGTACCTACCGGCGTAATACCAGGGGCCAAATCAAGCACAGAAGAATTCAAGGGGGATCAGGCGAGTTGTGGCCGACAGCGTTAGTCATCAGTGCGTGGTTGTACGAGTACTGTACTCGGGTACTCCTACCGGTAGAGTTTATTATGGAGCCAGGAATATGATAGCGCCCGAGCCGAATTGTGACGGCAATCTTCTACCTCGTTGCTTTTGTCTACAGGCATCCCCACTTGGCAGTCTCAGAATTAATAGTGCCGGCGGTATAACCGCTGACCTGAGAGTGGCTCGATAGGAATTAAACTTCACAAGCCTCGATTGGCAGGACTACCACGATTAGTCCAGCTCCTTTTCTACGACACGATACTCGAGTAGCGCCCAGAGTGATATCACCGGTTCTCGATTCATCACCGCCAACACCCATAGCCTCTAGACCTACGCCCTTTCTTGAAGCCGTTACATCATCAACCAAGACCATAGCCGAGCATAAGCCACTAGAATGCCACAATTGTACGCGCCTCACTTACAAACATACCCAATTTTGCAAGAACCTCACTGCTCCCCCCTTAAGAGGCCACGATCCAATCCAGCATTTCTCTGGGACCAGGTGAGACTCCCGAAGCTTCCTCTATATGCAGCTACGCCATTGAGGAAGAAGCAGCTGATGATATATGCCTTGATGTGGCAATTGATGGCCAATTCTTTCGGGTATCCTAAGGTTGCTATTCATTGCAATATAAAGCCCTTCCATGCGCTAGGTGTTTGAGCAGCGGATTTTGTCGACAGAGAGAAGGAGGGGCGGATCTATAGCATCGTGCCTTTCCTACAAGGTGTAATTTCCGCGGCGGCGATCCAATCCTCTTGCGTGAGTCGCCATGGATAAATGAAGATCGAGTCTAGGCTGTGACGGATGGAGGGTTGGTGTTTAGTTGCTAACCGTTCTTAGATGGAGACACGATAGGGAATAGAATCCTGGCAAAGATCTATGGTGTCGCAATGAGGGGTAAGCTCGCAAATGGATCTAGAGTGCCCCCTCCCCCAGTCATCCGCTTACCAGCCGACGTTGCACCCAAACGAGCAATACACCCCAGCACGTTACCCAGAATGCATCCCGGGTACAAAAATCAGTTGCTCGAGTAAATTATACGAACAGTGGTGTCAACGCTCGGGCGAGCGCTTTTTTCCCGGGGTCGCTGTGGCTGTTATCCGAGAGACTAGCGATGCGCACTCTGGACGTCACCTCGAGCAGATCAGTATCCCCGACACGTGCTTGTGGCGCCCCATTGACAGTGAGCAAGGGCCGTAGGTACACGGATGATCCTGGGTTTAAATAATAGTTAGGGCTGGGATGCAGTTCTCACTGGGAGCGCTGCTGCTGGGGAGATGACTCATCATACGGTGGTTGCGCCAAGTGAGAGGTATAAATCAGGTGACGAAGGGACTAGACCTTGGCGGAGTGCTACGGGTACGGCGAGCTTTACGGCTATTACCGGTATTAAAGCATGGTGGGTATTCTCGCTCCTCCGTTCGTCTCGGTGGAGTCTGGTAGTGATTCGGGGTATTGGATAGATCCGGGACTATTGTACGAGTAACAGGCGATGCAGAGATACGGGAATATGATTCTCGTGACTACGAAGGTACAGGGCTTAAGTTTTGTACTTTTTGCTAGCAGGGGGTTGTTTCACTAGCAGGGGTATAGTGGCTTTGAGGCAGTTAAGGCTGAGTGAAATTTTTTTGGAAATGAATACTGTGAGTACATGCCAACACTTCACAATTAACCAGCATGGCAGGGGAACAGATTCGCCCTGCAACTATGCACTTGACTCGAGACCAGCAACGTGACTGTCAGCTATTACGCTCTATAGGATGGAAGTACCGTCAAATTGGCGAAAAGATGGGATTTTCCAAATGCTAAATTCAGTATACATGTAATGCTCCCGGAACCTCAACCAAGTATTCTGGCCTCCTACCTATTCTTACCCAGGCCCAAATTGAAGATCTGATTTCTTATATTTGTATGTCCGTCTACAATTGATGTCTCTCATTTCAGCAACCAGCAGAAGAGCTAGATTTGGGAGTTGGAAAAAAAGCTATCTAAGCAGCTCTGATCAAGGAAGGATTCCACAATATCTTGCCATGAGAAAGCTTCCAATCTCAGAGTGCAACCAAGTTATAAGACTACAATGGGCTGAGGAGCATTTAAACTGGACCCAAGCTCAGTGGAACTCAATCCTATGGACTGATGAGATATGGGTCATGGGTGGAAAACATACCAGAACATTGGTTACAAGAAGAACAGGGAAAGGGTGGGATCCTACTTGCATAGTAGAGAAGCATGTAACGATCCCTCCTCGGATAGTTAGTTCTTGGTGACGGGGAACAATACTTCTCTTTTTCTTCTGTTTCTTTTCTTAGTCTTATGATAGCACTAGGCCTCTGCCTACATTATCGATAGTACAAGACCTTTGTCTTCTATCGGGAACACCTATTGTAAGCTTTCTCTAACTCTTCTTCGTGAAGAGTTTTCCTTGGCATAACGATAACATTGTAATAAAAGTAAAGATCGTAAAGGTATTTTATATTCGTTAAAGTAATAAGTAGAAAAATTACTTAGAATTCAATCTAATTTTATTTAAACTTGTACCGCCAACAATGGCATACAATGAGTCCCAGGGCCGGGCCCCCAGGTTGTCGCATCCTGGATACCACTAACTACAAACTAACTAAAACTCCAACCCCGTACCTCAAACATGCCCAGGCCATGCTCCAACACGAACACTAAATACAAAGCCATCAATGGTAAAGAAAGGTCCTCCTCAGCCCAGCCTACCTGCCAGTCAAGTTACCCGTACAAAATACAAAAATTCCACTTCTGCCACCTAAATGTGACCTTGCAAAAACCTTCTCCACAATAGAAACCCACCCAAGTGCCCCCACTCAATAATCCCGGGACATCCCACTGACCACCCTGGCACTCATCCCCATTCCCAAACAAAAGAAACACCCAAGACCCAAGTGCGTAAACCCGAGAGAAAGCCAACTTACAGGGCGAAGGCGCCCTAGCCAAGGGGGTACGAGCCATTGTAGAGAATCAGGAGGGTACTACACTGGCAGCACAGCCCAAAAACCTCGACGGAAGCAGCCAGAACGAGATAGTCTCCAAGCTGCCAGCACTTGACTGAACATGCCCAGGTATTCAACTCCTCCTCTAACTCCTCAGCTAGCTCGGCAGGTGGTGAACCCGCCACAGACTCTGTAGTAGCCAGTTTGCGATAGCGAACCGGTAAAGGCGATGACCTTTCTGAATCTGGGATAAGTGGCACAGGTGAGGTCT